CATCTTCGGAAGGCCATAACTTTTGCATACGAGCTCCGTTTTTGACGTTCTTTATATCCACGCGTAGGTGGAAACGTACTCTACAACTTTCATTTAGCCCTCTAAGGATAAAAAGTAATTTATCATAAACTCATTTTTTACGATTCCCGGTGTGGTGCCGGTTTTGTCGCAAAACTTCGACAGGTCATAACTTATTCGTTATAACTCAGATTTCGACGTTCTTTGTATGTACGGGAACCTTGTGATTTTGACCGTTGACTTTTGGATTGAGTTGACTTTTGGTCAAACTCTTAGTTTTGGAAGGAGAGTTAAGGGCTTACCTTCTGTAACTGTATAGGTGGTGTATAGCATCGGTATTTTCCGGCAGTGAGGTGATTATCGTCTAAGTGGTGAGTCTCTTCACTATACTCGTGGGTCGAAGGCACCAATGTCGGCCCATTGGATTGTGTTTTTAGGATGATATGTGTATTTGTGACACTTGATGATATCCATGTATGTGTTTGTTGTCTTTATGACTCTTGCTGATATGACTATATGTTAATTGTATGTGGGGTGAAATAGACCGGGGGTGAAGTAGACTCGTTCGACTGAAAAATACCGATTGAGTTGAAATAGACTCGGGGACGAAATAGGCCCTGGGTGAAATAGACTCGTTCGGTTGAAAAATATTGATTGAGTTGAAATAGACTCGAGGATGAAATAGGCATGGGGTGAAATAGACTCGTTACAGCTTCGAGCTGATATGTATGTATAATATGGGGTATTTTGGGGAAACTCACTAAGCTTTGTGCTTACAATTTTATGTTTATGGTTTCAGATATTTCCGGTTCCAAGGGGAAGAGCTCGACATGATTGTACCGCATCCACCAGTGTTCCGCATGATTTGACTTATTTTGTACTCTGATGATTATATGACACATTATTATACTTTGATGGAATTTTTTGAATGAATGAATGGTTGTTTTTTATTGATTTAAAGAAAAAAATTCACTTATAATTTTTGGGGCGTTACAGATTTCTTAGAAGATCGATTTTGATTTCTTAATTAAAACAATCAATTAATCAATAATCTAAAATTGAAGGTCAAAAGTGATTATGTAATTAAGTGATCTTATTGGATTTTTAAACTTAGTGTATTGATTTCTATATCAACTTGTGCGCTGGTTTTGAAACAATAAGTTAATCAATAATCAAACACACACATACACACACACCCTCAACGACTTAGAGAGTTCAAGAGAATGAGTAGCTTGGATTGGCAAAAGCCGGAGGATGAACTGACTTTGGTTTGGTGAAGATACCTTTGAGTCGATTTTGTTTCTGGGTCTGGATTACCAGTCTACTATAAAGAATCATATGAAAATTTGGGCCCCCTCCACGACATGGGCCATGTACGGTCGCCCAACTCGCACACCCTCAAAGATGTCCAAGCAACCAAACTTAATATTACTTGAAAATTTTGAGTCGCAAGCTAAGAATATGCTTTTACTGGTTATTCAAATCATAAAAGACATAACTTTTAGTTTGGAAAGTAATATTGTTTTTTTTTCCAAGGACTTTCGGTTTTACGGACATATTCTGCCTTTCAAGATGTCTACTGATCCTTCCAATAGTTTTATATTTGTTTCTTACTTGTTCTTCTTTGATATCCCTTATGAATCTGGTCGGTTTATTGACAATGCGTCTAAGAGCATACGGTGTGGGTCGTGTTGCTTCTTGTTGTGGCTGAGTTGGCAGCCCATAACGTCGTTATAACATCAAAAACACCGCCCCCCCTCCTTGTTGCATCTTGTTGTGGTGCTTTTTGTTGTCTCTGTGACAAGAAGAAACGTGATCACCGATTGGCTGCCAAATTATCTCTCTCTATCTCTCCTTTTAACATGGTGTTATAACACCATGAACACCACCCCTCATCTTGTTGCTTTTTGTTATAACACCACTTCAAGTTGCCCATACCATATGCTCTAAATGTAAAGAATCTAACCACAACCATGAACTTGGTAATCATACAAGAGTTGTCGAAAGCAATGATATTGAAAAGGTTGTACACTTTATTCCGGTTTGAATAAAACTATAGAACCTAATAATATAATGAAGCTTATACAACTTCAAATTGGGTATATGCAATGAATGAGAGAAATGGAAGCAATATATCGAAACCAGACTTGGCTTATTACAAAAGACAACTTTTCTTGCAACATTAACAACATAAAACTATACTCATTTACACACACTAATAATAGTTTTTCCATCGACTTTTCAACTATGGCTAGTTTACAACTACCAACAAACCCATCACTTTTGATGAGCTTTTTTCTCGTTTGAAGAATTCCTAGGTGTCGGTGGTGGTTGTTTACCACCTCTGCCACCACCCCCCGCCCTCCTCGGCCGCCCCAATCCTCTTTTTGCAATTTTCTGATTACCACGAAAGTCAACGTTTGACTTACTCCCTTCAATCTCCGGATTCAAGGTCCCGGAATCGGAATTACTACTAACTTTCAAATACCCATGTGGACCCCCAATCGGACCACTACTTGGAAACTTTACTACAAGCTTCGGTTGTTTACATGGGGCTCGAGGCCTAATGCTTCGGGGCCTCACGGGAGGACTTGAGATTGAAGAAAAACATAGGATTGATGATAACGGCATGCTGCTGCTGCTACTGCTAGAATCGCTGCATAACTGCTTGTACCTTTTGCTGACTAGGCCACGGAGGAGCATTGCGGACTTGTACTCTCGGGTTCTTTTTGAGTAGAATACGAGTGCATTGTTGGCAAGCAAGAGCAAGTCTCGGAAAAGTTCTCGGGTTGATTTTATTCCACAATTTGCGATTTTTGATCTTATTGTGTCCAGATCCATATGTTGACGGATTGTTTTTCGATAACGTGCTCTTTTCTGCAGAAAATGAATTTTGACTTTAATGGTCAACCGATTGAAAATTTTATAATTTTTGTATCTTTCACAATAATATCATTACCTGGCTATCAAGCCGACGTCGAAACACCAATGCATATTGATTCTCAGTAACCGAATTAAAAATCCCAACCAAATCATCGCTTTGTGGGCCCCCCCTACACGACTCCCCATCCTGCAAATCCACACTCGAAGACTGCATACCACTCGTTGAAGCCTCGTTCCAATTACCATCTTTCCTCTTTCTTTTCCCTCTTCTTTTTCTAATTGTGCCACTTTTTTCATTGCTCAATTTGATCATTGTGTTCATACATGATTCGGGTACTTCTAGTTTTACTTCAATATTTTGAGACGATGCTAGGGATGGGCTATGAGATTGGGATTGTGGGTTTGTTTCAAGATCTTGAGTGAAACTTCCGGATGATAATTCAAATTCATCTTTGGATCCTTGTTTATGAACGGTTTTGATCTTGATTCCCTTTGTTTTTGGTAAAGATTGAGGTGGGGATTCGGTTTGGCTTGAATCATAGTCAATTTGATTACAATTCACCTTTTTGGATTTGAGATTTTCAAGCTTTGATACGAGAAACCTATCAATGATTAAGCGAAAACCCTAATAATGGTTTGTATGCAGCAAAAATGTCTCGAAGAATCAAATTACTGATAAAAGAATTGTAAAAAATACCAAGAAATTGATATATTTGAACTACAAAACGGGAAATATGAAAGAAAGACTTACCCAATTGATTCTTGGGATTTCTCGAGCTCTCGCTTCAATTCCGCAACTCTACGTTCTCGAAGCTCATCATACCAAAATCTAACGAATGAAAACCATGGCGACCAACAAATTTAAAGCCTGTTCAAAGTTCGCTTCAAAAACAACCTCTCTACATATAACAAGCTTCATGAAATCAACTAAGAGTTGTTGACTTTTTCACAAGTTTGAAAAGGAAAATTTGTAGAAGATACAAAATATTTGAATAATGAGGCTCGTGGAGAAATGGAAGGAAAAAATAAATGAGGGCAGAAATTATAAGAAGCTTCGATATAATGTGAAAAAGTATATGCATTGATTTTCTTTATTAAGTTGTTATTTATGTATTTAGTCAGCAATAAACATCCATATATAGTTTTACTGGATTAAGTTTAAGTAAAAAAAAAAAGTAAAAAGCAGGACCTAAATTAAATAAATGAATAAATAAATTGAATGGAAAAAACTCGATACTCACTTGCAACCAGTATAACGCTGTTGCAAATCTTCATACCTCGTTCTACATGCCTGCAAGTGAGATAAAGTGTGAAATGCATAATTATTAGTATTATAATAACAATAATATAAGAATGATAATAACAGCAAACACTATTCATGACACACAAAAATATTACATATTCATTTTAACTCCTGTTGACTTTTACTTTATACCCTTATCCTATTTATTACTAATAAAAATATAAAATAAAAGTATTATTAGTTTAAACAAGATACAATAAGTCCATGTTAACTATAATGTTTAAATTTAATTGTAGCATTCATTTATAACTGTTATTATTAAATTGTATAATTATTTCTTTTAATGAAAGTAAAATAAACTACACATTGATTATGTGTGCTAAATCTTACTATTAATTTAAAGTTTATCAAACTAACACTTCCTATTTATTGCAATTAGGCTCAAGATAGACTGCTAACTTGTGCAAACATGCTTGTAAAAATGTGTATCATAATTCATAAAGACATAAATGAGTTTATGAGCCAAAATAAGTAATAATGAAATCACATGCCTAACCTCAGGGGTGAAGTAATACGGGCAAACGGTTCGGGTACGGAGCTCCGAAGAAATGACGTCCCAATTGCCGGTCCCATGCCGGAGAACAGCACCGCCGAGGATAAGTTCCTCCCACGTACCCCACACCTTCTTCAAAACAACGCTGACGTCATCCATTCATCCACGTGTATAATGCTTGATGAGACAAAAAAAACCCACTGCCAAAAAGTTTTTTAAAAGAAATAATAAGGCGCACGTTAGCAGAAACCCTTATTCCGTCGACGGAAACCACCACGCCTCATGGCAAAACCGCCGGTTGCGGAGGAAATTGTTTGAATAAATGAAAAAGGTGTTCGGTTTTGAGGCGCAATTGGTGTAACTTTTGCGGGAGTAAAGGGTTTGACTGGTGGCGAATGAAGAATTCCGACTGCAGAACAGAATTTTTGTCAAGGTTCAAAATCAGAAAACAGAAAAAAGCAGTGAATTAAGCAAGATTAATAAGAGATGATGTTGTTGATTGGTTTGAAATTTTTGAAATTATTTGGTGGAATGCTGTACGACGAAGAAGAAGAGAACAAAAGGCTGGTTTTCCTCGAAAATCTCCCTCCCCCTCTTTCTCTCTCTAGATTGGCATCGCCAATGAAATTTGGTTTCTTTTAACTTTTAACCTTTTTATTTAAATTTGAATAGATAGGGAATTTATTATGTATATTTGGATTTGTCTTTGCCTATTTATTACTTTTTCAATCATACAAAGTCAGTCAATATATTTTTTAACAATGTATCGTTAAGTCAATTATATAAAAACTCATCTTATTAAGATGATCAACATGTGCCGGTGACTAACAACACAAGTAAATTACATAAAAAAATATATATACATTGTCATTTTTTTTTTGGAAAGGGAACTTCCCTAATAAGGGTTTTCGGGCCAGCTTTCGCGCACCGACTAATCCCCGCTGCAAACATGAGGCTTTGCCTCATGCCCTGGAGTCACTGCAGGCAAACCTCCATGGCCACAAGGGTTGAGTGGTGCCAGGATTTGAACATGGGTCAATAGGTTATCCACCATATCTTCCACATGTCTTACCAAGTCA